TTCATGAAGTCCATAGAATAACTTAATTATAATACAAGCTACCCTTTTTACATATGTCAATCTGGTTAAAAGCTAACAGCTTTGGGATGAAGGCTAAGAGGAATTTCACAACATTTATCTTCATCTATACACAACTTATATACATGTACATAGAAATGTAAGTAGTGGATCCAACAGGAATTTAGATGAAGGATTTTTTAATGAAAGTGTACAGGGCTTCTAACTCTGTTAGTCTATATACTTATTGATCTGAACAAGGATTCAAAATTTTGGCAGTGGATTGATGAAGATGTATTTTTAATTAATGTCACAGCACATTTTGGGTTCATGGGTAGGGAAAGCTCAAGGGAGAGTTTTGTTGGATTACATTTTTGTTTACTATTTATCTTATAAATGCTTACCATAATCATGACATGTTTTTGTAAAATCTTTTTTAAATTAATTGTTACTGTATTTATTTGACATTGCAGTCTAGACTATTCAACAAATCTGAGTATAATCACAGATTATTAATTCCAAATTCAGGTTGATAGTACATGATAATTATTTTCTAAGTACAAAGTTTGAGGATGCCAGTTAAATTTTGCAATACTTAACTTATCTGTATATTTTAGATGTGGAATTCTTCATATAAAACAAAGAGTGAAGATTTCAGGAAGATTTTTAAGGATGTAAATCGCGAGGATCGGCTACTTGTAGGTAAGGATATTGTTTAATTGTTGTATTTGTTTTATAAAGCAGAGACTTTGTCAATAACTTCTTTTGCTTCATTGCTAAATATTAAAGAATTTCTCTTGATGTAATTCATCCGGGCCCACAAAGTCTGTTATAGAAATCATCAAAGATTGCTAGCCTTTGGGACTTGTATCATGTTAAACAGACAACTACTTTTTACTTGCAGATTATTCTTGTGCCTTGCAAAAAGAAATTTTGGTCCAAGGCAGGATGTATATTACACAAAACTGGGTCTGTTTCTATGCCAACATATTTACTTGGGAAACACTGGTATGAAATTCATAATAATAAAGAAGTAGTATACAACATGAAATTTTGAAACATTCAGTAGCATGAGGCCTCCTGAAATTGAAAAGTATGACCTGTATTATTATTTTTGTTGGTGTTGTTTTAGCTGGCCATTCCCTGTGGAGAGATCAGATCCATCACCAAAGAGAAGACGGCTCGAGTGATCCCTAACGCCATACAGATACAGACTGAGAAGGAGAAGTACTTCTTCACCAGCCTAGGGAACAGGGATAAGACGTACATGATGCTGTTCAGAGTCTGGCAGAATGCTCTAATGGGAAAGGTGAGACCTGTGTTACTGGGAGAAGTGAGACCTGTATTATCATAGGTACCTGACAAATGGATTGTGTAACACCCCCTCCCTTCCCTCCACAAGCTTCTGAGAATTTTTAATGAGACACAAAAACTTACCATAAATATATGATACCCTAGTCTATCAATCTTATTTCGATATGTGATATCATTTTCCGCTTTTGTTATGATTTAGAGATTGGCCCTATACAGTATAAAAAGTACTTAAGGTAAGAAACAAAATCTTCTAAACACATGGGTACCCCCCTTTGAGTGAGATTTTCTACATTACTTCAACATATTCAATATTTATGCAAGATGTTGTTCAGGGAGATATTGTTTTACAAACCCCTTACAGCCACACAAGGTCTAAATTATTTATTTGCCCTAAATTCATGCAAGTTTATTTACCGTATTTCCCTTCACTGGCAGTGAAAGAGGAGGTTTTGATAGAAGGTTGTGGAAAACACCCAAGAAGTTCCGATAAGCTATCTCAGGATTTTTCATTATCATGATTATGCTAAACAAAGTAGTACTTGATGACCTCCTTTAAACATGTAGAGCTTCTGTCTCATCAGAGATTTTTGGTGTTGATTCAATATATAGCATGTGTTTGCTACACATTCATATTGGAAATTCATCATTATAAATATGTACAGTGGACCCTCATTTATCCGGACGCTTTGGTTCCCAGTCAATTTGTCCGGATATGTGAAGCATCCGGATATCTGAATCACCAGTTAAACAAGACAGAATAACATTTTAAAATTTCGTTCCGATGAAAAATCGTCCGGATACTGAAGCATCCGGATATCTGGCGTCCGGATATCTGAAGGTCCACTGTATATATAAAAATATCTTTATTTTTGTGGTTAGTCTTAATTTGCTCAAAAGCATCCTGTTTTTGTACACAAAGAAATTTTTATAAGTACTTTGTAATTATACATACAATATTATATAAAAGGCTATTCAACTCATCAATCTAGTTCATTGATAACTGTGACATCATGTGAATTATACTATAATTCCCATGATTTAAGTTTGTGGGTAGATATAAAAGTTGTCTTGATTTATTGCTTTGTCAGTGCAGATGATGTATGAATAGCTTTAATTTTTTGGTGTTTCCATACCCAGAATAAAAATGATTTATAAGCCTTTAGTGATTTATAAGCCCTGAGTATGTCTGATTTACATGTGTTTATGTTGACAGTCTATGGCAGCTAAGGAGATGTGGCAGTGGATTCACTATAACTATGGGGAGGAGCTGTGTCTGGATTCCAGCGATGACGATTATGTAGCCCCGCCCTCACTCATAGAGGAACCAATCAGGGATGAAACTGTGACCCCCAGTAGGTTAAATCAGGTCAGTTTTCAGAGAATGAGAGTGAGCTTAACGATATTTTTTATTGAATGTCCAAATTTTTCAGATACTTTAAAATCACATATTTTCAAGGGGTCAGATTTTCGAGGAAAAAATATGAGTTAATGGGGGATTTCATTTCGTGGACAAAGAATTGTTTAGTAGTAATATCTGTGAAAAATTGCATTTCATGGTGGACATAAATTTGGGGTCTCTTCATATCTTGAAAACCACGAAATTTAAACAACCACAAACATTAGTAATATTACAGTATCAGATGTAAAAAATTTATACTTAATATGTAAAGCTTTTAATTGTAAAATTTTTGAAGCAACAGTTTGATTGTTGACATGATTCATTTTACTAACAGACAGAGAACACGGACTCTGATTGTATCCCTCCTTCCCCGGGGTTACCTCAGAATGACCTGGACAGTAAAGACCATTCATTATTTGCCCCCGCAGCAGTGGAGGATAATCCTGTGGAAAATGTTTTAACTGATCAGAGTGATACTACAGAAGATAGCGAAGGTCAGATATCCCCCCCCCCCCAAGAAAAATTATAATGAAATAAAGAAAAGACAGTACATACATGTATTTGTAAAGGGGAATAATTCTGATAACCACAAAAGAGAGCGAAATATTTGAAGAGAAATTATTATTCTGCCAGAGTTAATTTATTTAAATCTTTAAAGAAACTGGATCATAATGCAACTCTCTAACACTAAAGATAAATGACTAAATCAGTAAATTGTTGATGAAGCAAGGAGCTTAATCATATGAGCAACATCAGACAATTTAAAGTCTTAGTAGTAAATTTTCATCAAATCCCCTCCTTCCTTCTAAGACTAAATGGGGTGAATATTGATTCACATTTGATTATTATGTATTATTTAAAGTATTAGCCATATCTTATGTGTCTTTGTTTATTAATAAAAAAATGTTTCAAATGTTACATTAATGAATAATTTCAAGTTAAGTATATAATGAGCACTTTTAAATGTAATTATCATTGTCTGACAGCAAAAACGTTATGGGCTTTTAACCCCCTTCTTTCTAGTTATATGAATTTAGTTTCTCGTCAGACCTCTTTTGATCTTTCCCCTCATCTGTTGATATCTTGTAGGAGAGGGAACCTTGTTTTGTGCTGAACATAACCACTTTGAGAAACCTATGTTGGATGAGGTGTATTACATTCCAGTGGAGAAGATGTTTGAGATGCTGTTTACAGAGTCTGACTTCTACAATGAGTTCCACTCTAGAAGGGGGTCAAAAGGTCAGGTCATTTAAATGAAGGTTTAATTTTGAAATCCAAATATACATAAAATGTAGAGTCTGTCTAATTTTGCTACTGTAGACGTACTTTTTTCCACGGGGTCATAATTCTGCCGAATCTCAATTTCTGTTGAATCCGCGTGTAGAAAATTACGTGGATTTCCTAGACTGTCACTATATGCTTACATTTATATTAAGTACGCTTGGACAAATTTCCGCGGAAAATTTGTGACCGCGTACATAGCGTAAATTAATACCACGCAGAAAAAAATACTTCTACAGTAGTCTTGATATTTAATCATATAAATCACTCTCTATTTTACAAATATGTCAAAAGTGTCTTGTTTATTAGATCACTTCCCCATATTCAGAAATTTCAATGTTTATTATCCATAAACACAACTGTAAGTTTAATGAAGACTTGACTCAGTGCTATTTTTCATCATTGCAGACTTCACCTTTACCCCATGGAAAGACATGGGACATGGTAAACAAACCCGTACGGTCAGCTACACCATCCCATTAAACTACTCCATAGGCCCAAAGTCCTCTCAGGCTGTAGAGCTTCAGACCTGTCAGAAGGACCCCACCCCCGGGACCTACTTCACAGTGGACACAGAGTGTTCGTGTCTGGGCATTCCTTATGGAAATACATTCATAGTGAGTAAAAGTTTTATCACTAATTCTCAAGCTTCCTTTACAAGTTATTCGTTGCATTCTCTTGCATATTATGTAAACATGAACTGATTTTACTAATGACAGATTAACCACATTTGTACACTTCCAGTTAGTAGAGATTATTGAGTTATTTCAAACAGTGTATCATGGATGAAGTTTGTTATTGAGAGTGATCTGGAGTGCTGATTGCATGTAAATCACTGTACATAAAAACACTTCAGAAAGATTATGAGTAATCTAGCAATGGTTTTTAACATGTAGTCTATCAATAATTGCTACAATTATCTTATACTTGCTGAATAACCCCTGCCAAGTTTATTGATTTTCTTGGATTAACATTTACATATTAATTAATTTTTCCATGTTAAATGTTGCATATTTAATTTTTTTCCAAATTTTCTTATGGTGTTTTGGTGTTCAAAATTGGAATTTTCCAAGTTAATGAAAGGGGTTGTGGTGGTGGTGGTGGTGGTGGTGGGGGGGGGGGGGGCTTTACATCTCTGTAGGTCACTGACTCTGATGACCTATTGCTATCAGTTTTTCCTCATCTTAATGTGATATCTATAAACATTCTCCTCTGAAAAGGCACTCGGTGAACTAATTCAAACAATTTTGGTATTTACCTGTAGAATGTTTGGATACCGGTAATTGGGAACATTACTTTCTAAATTTATCTCTTGGGGATCGAGGAGTTGGACCAGCACCTTGAAAATTAATGCATTCTTTAAAAAAATCTTTACTTCTAGACAAATTACGCACAATTTCATAATTATAAATGATCAGTAAGTTCTTGACCACCTCTACCATATTGTGAAATTGATGCCTCCAGCTTCAATAGTCATTTTTGAACCCTGCCTTCACTTTTTCACCATTAAATCCTTAAGTAAAGGAAAGACTTGATCATACATATTAAGCTTTTTTGCAGCTTTATGCCCCCAGAGCCTGATGCAGGCATAGACATCTTTAAATTTCTTCGCCTTCTTGCCCCTCAGTTTATGCCGCACATTTGGACAAATTGGTCTTATGCTGAAAATTTGTTTTACCTTGTACCTTATAAAACTTTATTTATTCCTGGATATTTATCAAGCATCTGCATGTACTACAGTTGTGAGTTATGTGCCCTTTCCTCAGTCTTGCCTATTTTCCCAATTTATGCGTAAATTTTATAATTTTGGCCCAATTTAAACTAAAAAGTGAAAGTTAACATGCAGATTTCATGCATTTAAATTAAATTTTTGGTATTAGGATGGAACTCTATTGAATCTTTGAAAATATTTTCTACACTTTAGAAATAAGCAAACAAAGTAATTGCTAAGATTTCATGAGTAAAGGTGCTTGTTCAAATGTATAAAATTAATGATCATTTGGTCAGATGTACTGGTGAAAGGGTGGGCTCTATTTGATTTTACAATTCCTGTTCTTTTGGACAGGGGTTCAGCTATTAGGGTTGGGATTAAATGAATCAAATGATTATATCGTGAACATGCTTTTAATTCTTTAAAAGATATTCTGGGTATTTAGCAAACAAGCTAATTGGATGTTTGTGATGAGTTAGGAGCCTGATCTTCAAGAACTCGGATATTCGTGGGCCCCTGGGGCATGGGTTCAGGTGTTAGGGTGTGGACCCTAGATCAAGGGTCAGGTGTTAGGGTTTGGGCCCTGGGTCAGGGGTTCAGGTGTTAGGGTGTGGGCCCTGGGTCAGGGGTTCAGGTGTTAGGGTGGAACTCTATTGATTAGGGATGTCAAAATATTTATTTTCCTTAGTCGAACATTCGATTGCATTATTCGAACGATAGTCGACTATTCGGAGCATTTTTTGAAGAAAAAAAAACCCTTATCAATAGCGTTTTCATAAATCAAAAACCCTTTTTGTAAATTTATGTAAAAAGTAACATCAAATGCCTATAATGTGCATTACGCACCGATATTCAGATGAACCTTAAGATGGGATAAGATGTAGAAATGAAGATTTACATCAGCAATAGATTCTCCAAAATGTATGAGTTTTGTAAATCACATTCAAAAATTGATCTGTACATTCTTTCATTCTAGTACGCTTATAGAATTGTCAGCAGTATTTACAAAGCTTATTTGAAATAAATTAAATTGGAAAAGGGGAGGATTTGTCTTAATAATTATTGAAGTTTCAAAACTTCTCAGCTTAAATTTGCTCTTTTCCTTTTGCATAATTCAAAAAGGAAATGAATAAATTTATAATTGGTACAAGTTCAATTAATAATTTTCAAACTCTAGTAAAGTGCTGCATAATTTACTGCAATAACAAAAAAAGTCAGTAATTAAGAAATAATTATCGCGGTATGTAATAACTGTTCTTTCCATGTAAACGATGTGGAAACTTATTTAAATACTGTGACTGTGTTTAAGCTCTTATTCGTCTGAGGACGGATACTATAATGGTTTGAGGAATGACGCTTTACAAATTGGAGTTGAGAATTCTTTAACACCTCCTTTTTTGCATTTATTAAATATTCAAGTGTCGTTTTTATTCGATCGTCTGTCCATTCGACTGATAGATCCCTACTATTGATTATATTTGCCTATGGGTATAAAGCTGAGCAAACGAAGTGAACGGTCATGACGAGCAAGGGTTCCTCTTCCGTAACTACAACATTGTATCTGGTGATAAATGTATATGGATTCCACACAACCTTAGTAGGTCACATGGGGGCTAAACATGGATTTGTATAGGATTTAGAAACCATATTAACTAAATGTAATGATATAACATGTTCTTCAGTAGGAACTGGGATGAAGATCTATACATCTGAAAGTTCAAGATTATCTGGCCCTTGCAGTTTATGTTTGTTAAATGTATCTACCACGAGAAGCCACAAATTCTTAGATGTTCGTTAAATGTACAAAGCATGGAGTTCCAAAAAAACAAAAATTCTGAAATCTGGGAGCTAATGTTTGGTTTATTTCTGTAATGCATGGCGCCTGAATTTGTTTGGGAAGGGGAAAGGGCAGAAAACATCTTTACAACACTGTTGGCACCATCTCAACTGAACCAGTTTAAACCCAAGTTTATTTCTTTGTTTGGTGATGTTAACTTTTCCCTTTAATTTGCAGAACATTTAAAGTTCATATTCACTTTGAAACATAGATCTTTTAAGTTCATCAAGCTACTCGATGTCTGTTCTAATGAAACAGAATTTCCAACTAGACTGTAATATTGAGTTAGAAAAAAAAGTCATCATATCAATAATTTTCCAAGACAAGAAATCATTATTGAAGAAGAATGTTATCTTTTCCATCTATTTTATCAATATTTTATGACCCTCATGACTGCAGAATCATGATGTTTATGGACCAAGTATCTACTGGGAGTATTTTCCCACTTTCATTTAAGCAGGTTGTTTTTCACATCTTAAAAGAGCAAAAAACATACAGTGTACATGCAGATTTGAATTCATACAAGAAACCAAATTAATTATCAGTTTGGACACCACCTTTATTAATGTGAAAATGAAGTTTATGATTATGTAACTTCTGTTTGAAGTTGCTAAGATGATGGACAAAGGATATTTAAAATGGTGCATATCTGTGTTTGAATTAAATGCAGTATATTTGACAAATAAAGAGCATTAAATTTTCACTTCAAATTGAAAAAAAGCATTCAATATTTTTATGATGACATACTAGTTACTGAATACCAGGTGTGCACACTTCAACATTATATATACTTTAATTGTCCTTGGGAATAAACTCAGGTATTGGATATTGAGTGGCTAGGTGTAAATTACTTTATACATGTAGTATCTGTATTATAATAATTCTCTGAAAGAGTACGTCAAAGATACTGGGCTAAGGCAAGCAAGGGTTGAGAATTCTTTAACACCTCCTTTTTTGCATTTATTAAATATTCAAGTGTCGTTTTTACACTGTACAGGTAGGTAATTGGTAGACAAATCATGGTATTTAAAATGTTTTGAATTTTAAAAATTGTATTATTTTGCATGTTACATCCATGGTTTTAAAGTTTTGTATGCAGGGTTTAACTTTTGAATTGATAAATAAATTTCGCACTAAGATATGCTGAAATCAATTAGAACGGCAGTACTTTTAATCAATCCAATGTTGCAATAGGAATATCAAATTTGGCAGCAAAAAAATGCACTTAGACTGATTTTTTTTTTTTAAAAAGCATGAATAAATTGAATTTTTGGAATTGTTCAATGACAGATAAATGTTTTAATTTAGAAAATTTACAATAAACAGATTTGCATGTTAGATTGCATGGAAATTTTGAACATTATGAACATCTTAAAACCTACTTGATAAGTTTACCATACTAGGTGAATTTCATTTCAGTGAAATGGTGATGCTTACACATTTAAAATGTTAAATACCCCCTACAGATTTAATACTACAGAAACAGTACACTCTCAATTCTGAAACTCCTGTACTGTTTAATTCTTTCATTGGGTAGCATTTGCCAGATGAATCTTAAACCCGCCAGCATGTATAACCCAGAGATTCAGTATTCCCTATGTTTTAGAAAAACAGAGTCTCTCACAAGGTATTATCTCCAGATAGTCTTAGACACAAGTACCATTTACAGATAGATAAACGTGTACCATTGCAGAATCAGTCTACTTTCTGGTAATAATGCACCACTGACAGAATCTTAGTCATAGAGGAAGCTTTTAAGATTTCATCTCTCAGTGCTTTATTGACAACATGACAACATGACAAGGCTGTCAGTTGGGAGTTTTTCATTATCCATAGCATTCTGTTATTTTCACCTTATTTAAGAGTTACTTTATATTTAATTTTATCTTTTTTTTTCCTTTAAGGTTGTCAATAGGTACTGCATATCCAAGATAAATAGGTACAAATCCCGACTGCAGGTCACGTCAGAGGTCCGCTACAAGAAGTCCGTGTGGGGACTAGTCAAGAGTATGTATAAATAGTAACAATAACAGCTAAGTGGTCAAAAGTAGCATCCATACATCTAGTATAAGAGACAAGATTAAATTTCACACTAATACTTAAAACTGACAGAAGACCCTTGTATGAAATGACTTTGTAAGAAAAAGTATACACATGTTTGTCTATATCTAAAAAGATGACATTTCTGTTAATTTTCTTGCATAACGAGAAGTTGAGGAAAAAAGAGGAAATACCGCTAATGAAGTAAAGATCAATAGAAAATTTCTTACGTTTTGTAACACAAGATAAGGTTGGTTCGTCACAAGATAAGGTTGGTTCGTCCTCTGTTTCTGTGGGGGATATTGATTGTCAGAGTCACATTAAAAACCAACTAAAACCGCTCTATGTAAAACAGAAAAGAAACTCATAAAATTAGTTTAATGCATTTATAATTGTGGAAAGAGAAATAATTTGAATAAACTTACCAGGTACTTTGGATAGTATAAATACATTTAATACTGTTTACTAGGTTTATTTCATGATTTTTGAGAAATGGAGTAATTTAAATTAAATAGGGAATTGCAATATATTATTTTAAATGTGTAACAAAATAGTACTTGATCAAGTCTTGTCTACTTTACAGGTATGATAGAGAAGAATAGTATACAAGGTTGTATAGATCACTTCAATACCCTCAGTGTTCACCTGAAGCAAGAGTCAGACAAATTTGAGACCAGCGTCCTGCAGACTCGAGCCAGTGGCAAAAGGAAAATCCGAAAGAGGAGAGTCCGATCTCAGCACCCAATAGTCCCAGAAATCCACAAACTGAAACCCACCCGACACCTGTCACTGATAGACAAACAGACAAGACAAGCTAACAAGCCCAGTCTTACACCTCCTACACCAATCAAAAGTAAGTCAAGGACTTTTTAAGATATGCAGGTTTCGAGACTATCTCCTTTGGTGCACTCTCGTTACAGAGGGGAGTTTTGTGCCTATGTAAGCAGACATTATTTATATATTGGATACATATACCATCATAACTGATTGTCGGGATCCACTCTTCAACTTGAAAAATTACCAAAAAAATTAATTTTTTTTTTAATGAACAATAAATTAAAACAAAAGAAAATAAAAATCAGAACAAAAAGAAGTATCAGTGGATAAAAACTTATCAAAAGAGGGAGAGATATGGATTTTTAATAAATACAAATGTAAGTCCGCATTTTGAATGACTTTCCTTATACTAACTTCAAAGAGTCCAATAAATTTTTATAAAAGGTTTGTACATGCAATCAAAGAATTACTTTTCTTAAAAAGACATTGACGGTGATTTTGTTCACAAGTATCCTAATTGAAAGAAGATTTTGTAAATACACTGTATGTATAGTAGAGTATTTTAAATACACCATAGATATTGTTCATCTATTTATGCACATTTTTAAACATTAACAACCTGTCTCCTTTTCCATGCTGATATGGATACTTTTTGCATCTCTATCACAGGAGAGTTGCAGGTAGTGTAGATTTCAGTTTGTTCATATCATGACCCCTTACAGTAAGTCTATATAAAAATCTGTTCAAGAACAACAAAGCCATATGTTATTTCCATAAGGATGCATCCTCTGATAGTTTAAACCCCCACCCCCCTTTCCACCATGTTAACTTTTCAGAACTGTTTTGTGCTTTTTTCCTAGCTATGTGAGCATTGTGGCTCATGGGCCTCTAGTTTATGATTCCTTCAAAACTGAAGCTTACTGTCCTATTTTCCTTTACAGATGGTAAAAAATATAATAGTTCAGCATTTATTGGGGGAATAAAAAACTAAGTCATTCGTAAATGTGCCATAAACTTTGTTATTGTACATGTAATAAAATTGACATATTCCTTTGTACTGACAAGTTGTTTCTTTATTAACAGGTGTTACAATACATAAAGAAGATATCACAAAATTAAATGCAGATACATTAGTCAGAGTCATACTGGTTGTGTAAGTATCAATTCAAAGTTGTTTGTAAATGTTCATCTAAACTGTATATGAAAGATACATATTGAACACATGAGCATTGCACATGCATTTGCAAGCCATTTCTGACACTGCTACTACAATAAACTATAATGCTTTAATATATTTTCTTGTCAGTTGTAAACAAGTTGACGAATTATTTTTGTAGATTGGTCTTGCTGGTTTTCTTTAATGCCATACTTTTCTATAAGCTGTGGTCTTTGGAGAGCTACACCAATATAGTATACTTCCCACGGCAACACACAGTAACTGAAGATCTCAAGTAAGTTATAATTCATCATCATCATCTAGTAAAATACTACCTATATTTAATGAATGTACTGGTATATGAAAAATAATTATGCTACATAACAGCATTATGAATTGAAATTTTGTACACTGACTGAATTGTACATATGTGAAAGGGTGAGGGAGATTCAACATCCTAATGTAGTGAGGAAGAGTTCTATTTTTTTTTTTTTTTTGAAAATATGATATTCTACATTATGATTTAAAAGAATAGCACTATATATATGGGGGGGGGGGGGCTATAATGTTCATGGATTGTTCAGTGACATCAGAGGAAGTACCAAATTATCTATGTATGAAGTAAATTTTAAAATGATTTATTATTAATATGTATTTTTTGTATTTTTCAGAAATTACCCCAAATCACAAGAAGAATGGATCCAGTTACTACAACAACAAAGACAGCTACATGAGAGTGAAATTGACAGATGGAAGGAAATCATTACATCCTCAATAGATCTTATAGATAGAGTAAGAAAAGGCTTGCTTCTCCAGGACAGAACTATGTTCACCTTCATAATATACATGTACCGTATTATGTAAAGATAAATTTTCTTCAAGCTTTTCGTTTTGTGGAAATCAAAAAATATATTCATACTAAGCTTCATTCATTCCATACAATTCCTACAGATGTAATTTACTGTATACAGTATTATATATACCTATTGAAAATAATAAATACTGCATGCTTATATTGAATTTTTTTTCTTGTTAATTTTGCAGATAAAAGGCACATTGGGGGATGTGAAAAACAGTTTAGAAGGCAGACTACAGAATTCAGACATTTTTAAAGGAGAGAATTCATAACATAGAGAAACCAGTTCAAAACTGGTGTCATTTCCCTATTTCTATAATTAATACAAAAACGGGTAGCTGGCTACTTGTTATGGGGTATTGTAAATGTAAAATTCTTTGTCATGTTCTCCTCATGAAGTTGATCATGTTTTGATTTTAATTTAAAAAAAAGATAAAAATATCTAGATTATAGCAACTTCTACATGTACATGTAGTTAATTTATTTTTTAAAGTGAATTAATGTCAAGCATCTGTTTCAGATATGATTGTCACCTTTTTTCGAACAAGTTTAACAGACAGTATTTCATTGTTGTTACAGTATAAAGTACTATAAAATTGTTTTAAAGATTTCATAACTTTGTGAAGTATAAGAGTAATTTATTAGCTTATTGAGCCACAGGCTGTCATTTTTAATATACATGCATGTATACTAAAAGTAGATTTATTTTGCATCAGTTTAATTTTCATGTTTACCGTAAATACAAAACAGATTTATTTAAAGAAAACTTCTTACAAGATTAGTTTAGAAAACATTAAGATACATATAGTTCTGTAAAAATGTTGTTACTTTTAATACAATCCATCAGAGTTACAGTCTCATCAGCAGTTTCTGGTGTCATGCAGAAAAAATAAATGGGATAACATTTAGAGTGAGGTTTTTTAAATTTTGACATTTTTTTTTCACTCAATCATGCATTTCATAATGGTTATATGATTTACAGAAAATGATTGGAATCTGGTATTCATTTTTAATTTTCTCACAATTTAATTTCATCATATTGTTGTATGCTGTTACATGTACTAGATCTGCAGACAATATCTTAATTGAATTGAAATTTGTTTCTTCAGTGTAAAGGCAAATTTTATGTGATTGAAGCAGGATTTGAACCTTTCATTAATTAGCATGTGACTAATCAAATTTTCATTATTAATGAAATAAGATTTGCAGTAGATCTTAAATTTATTTCAGTGAAAATGATGTATCATTATTTTTGCATATAAATTTATTTCCATTTTGACACTTGTAGTGCTTTCAGATATGTAGCATGATATAGTACAAAGCTTACAACATGTGTCCCACATAATAAAGCTTATTTCTTAAAGGATCAGACGCCAAAGATGCTAATCATATGTTGAACCAAAGTTAACCAAAGTTAACATTGAAATGGATGAATGATTCACTCACCAAATCCTAATCGTATTTGATGTTTAAAATGGAATTCAGTGTGCAATAACTATACTTAATACATTACTGTAACATATATTTGACCAAAAATTGCTGGGATAGGCATTAGCTAGACAATACACATAACTCTTTCCACTTTGTTAGTTATGTTGTAAGCGGGGGCATGTTGTCCTTAGGGTTAGGTGCTTTTACAAATCATGTGTACGATTATCCATTTATTTTTGTGAGTGCAATTTTTTGTTTATCCTTCTTCTGATCTCACCATTGTTTTATGAAATACTTCATAATCATTGTGATATGTTGTCCAAAAAGTCATCACGTGTTATTTTATTTTGAGAGTACTCCATATGCTGTCACCCCCCAGATGAATATAAATTGGCACACTATGATATTCTGGCATTGTTCTCCTGATGATAGGAATAAAATTGAGCATCTAAATCAACCATGAAGTGCCTCAATGGTTATCATTGAATACTCATTCCTTACCTCAAAACAAAAATTAATAATCAGTTAATTAGTTTACACCTTCATTTTTTTCTCTATTGAATAGAGAACTGAATCAATACAAATGACCATGTACATTGCCGATTCCATGTTTAAGTTTTCTCTTGGAAAAATGAACTCTAAAATTAATAAGGATTAAATAAAGGAGTGTATATTAATTTACATTTGTTGAGTTCACATATAAAGACTAATACATACATTCTGTATAATAATTTTATCAACATATCAATGCTGGTTGTTATACATATGTCTTTGTCCTGAGTCCCCATTTCAAAATTACACCCTCCCCCCTATTTTCAATTTTTTTTTTTTTTTTTGGATAATTGGTATAAAAAGCTGTTCTTATATGCAACATTCAAAATTTTCCTTGATGGGTCATTGGGTTGATCAATACATATTTGTTTTGCAACACCATAGATTTGAATCTTAGTGCTTTTCATGTGTGATTAAATGAGGTATATATTTTGTTTATTTATTATTTTCTCGTGCCTTTTCTCATGAAGAATTTCATCAAAACTTTCTACAAAATTTACTAGTACTTTTCTGCTGTCTTTTTATTATTATAAATCTTGCTATTTTTTTTATCATTCTCACAGTTTCAGGAAATCTCTCACATCCAAGATTTATTTCTAGCACTTGCTAGAAGGATGTTCCTCTTATGATAGTGCAATGTACTGTCTCCAAAAATAATTCATCTAAATGCTCTTACTCTTTGTTGATTCTTAGAAAGTCATTATCCAGAGTGTATGTTTTCTTTTATTTTATGAAATAGATTATTGAAATAAAGTTTATGATGATAAAATCCATTTTTGTTGCATTTTTGTTGTACCTGGAAGCCAATACTAAACTGAAATTCCAAAAGTTCATATAAACATACAGTGAATGTTTACATGTACAATCAAATCCACCCCCCCCCCAAAAAAAAAAAGAATATTTGACCAGAGATTGTGATGTGCTAACATAAAAAATTACCAAGTTTTCTTGAGGAAATGTGTGTTAATGCCATTATGTCAAATGTATATTTGCTCTGCATAAAGTGACATTATACATATATTTCTAGCATTGATGAATTTGTAGGAAGACAGACCTAAACCAGGGGATCGCCGACTTGTGACGTCATAGTAGCGATCTCCTTGCGATTACAGCGCACTCACAGGGATATACAGAAACAAACTCCCTGTAATCAAAGCAGAATTGTCACATCATAAATTGTTGTATTCTTTTAAGGGACAACAAAAAATAGATTAATCAGTCATTTCTCTAAGCTTCCTTCTTCGAAATGATCTCAGTTAACAACTTCTGAAGTTATAACTTTTAAACTAGTAGTAACTTAGTTTGAGAATTCCTTTGATTCTGTACATTCTTTAATCAGAGTTGTCCTTCCTTTACACATTAGACTTGAAGAAAATAAATATTGGATGTATAATATATAAATAAAGTTCAGAAACAAGTATATGTATGTCACAAAATTCAATTTTAATTATTAAAGCCTATCATAATATCAGAAAAGAACAGTCTTTATGACATCACTAATATTATATACTTCTAAAGAAATGCACAATTGTTTCCCATACATGCCAACTTTTGAAAATTCTTATGGGGGATTTTGCGCGTGACGACAATTTTCAAAGCTTTAAATTCGCGACATTTTGTCGTGAAAATAAATGATTATGAAATACTTTTTTTTTGAAATTATAATATTGATAGCACTTATTAATACAGCACAAATAAAACAATACAAATTAAAGTTTTATTTTTCCAAATTTAAATATCTTTGCTTAATAGTTGTCATTCTGTTCTATCAATTTACATTTTGTTTCTGGTATGTACCCTTAAAATCAAGTGTCACTTTATTCCCTAAAAGTAAGTACATGTATATAGACAGTGCATGATTAATTTTATCTCACACACAAAACAATTAGGAGAAATAGGCCTAATTAAATTTTTTTAACACAAGCCCCACCCCCCACCCATCCCAAAGAAAATTAAAATTGTAAAAGACTACATCATGAACATGATGAACTTTTGCAGTCTTGGTAATGCCTTATGGGTCTCTGGTATTTCCTTGACATATATGTAACAAAGAAATACAATGTACAATATGAGTATGATCTATGGGAGAATGGGGGGGGGGGATTCAGTGTACCTAACATGAGAGTATTATTTAATCTAAATTATTTTCAATATTTTTTTTAAATTGACAAATTATACAATATTTTTATTATTAGCAGTTAAAATCAGCAGCTATATATGCTTTGAAATTTTCTACTTTCGTTTTCAAAAAAACGATCTTTTTGGATTCCAATTTTATTGTTTGATTATCATTTTATTGACTTTAATTTTTGTTTTTAATAAAATGACTACTAATTAAGCCCTTAATCTATGTGTTTCACTCCGCATACCCCTTCAAACTGAAAAAGATTGTCCCCTAACTGCTCCAGGCTATAAGCTACCTGTACCTGGACAGCAGCCTGTGCGTTCAAGCGAGAAGTGATTTCCTGTGGCTAATTAACTCTGCATGCTATGTAAACAATGAGACTTGTCTGTGTGCATTGAATAAACAACTCTGATATTCTTATCCCGATTGACAAAATTCGGCGGTAGGGAAACTGAAAATCTGAATTTTTTCAAATCGGGAAATTGGGGCAATTTTTCTCTCCCGATCGGGAAGGCGGGACGAAAGGGTAAAATCGGGAAAATCCCGCCTAAATCGGGAAAGTTGGCATGTATGGTTTCCTTCATTTTATGAAGATAAATTACAATATTAAATTAGTTTTAACATGTTGAAAACAATATAAAGATTTGATCATCATGGCAATGATATGCTCCAATGCATGATAGATAAAATTTATTCATACAAATGTCAATAATTTATTCAACATGAACTGGGTACTGTTACTCTCTATATGGAAGACACATACAACAATAAATGGATGACTGAACAGCATTGTCTCCAGAGCCCCGTTCACTTAACATGTTCGTGTCCAATTCATCATCATAACCTAACCCTATTAACCAGCATCATCTCCTGAGTCCCGTTCATCTAACATGTCTGTGTCCAGTTCATCGTCGTTTGTGTCACTCTCATCATCGTCATCTCCCTCGTCATCGTCCTCATCTTCATCATCATCCTCTAAATGCTATAAACAGTCCAAAATGAAAAAAAGTCATTGTTTAAAAATTTTAACAAAGAGTACGTGGCTAATTTTCACGTAATATTGAACAGTCTAACAAATCCTTGAAGGAAAGAAGTTAACTGGCAGAAACATGACAAAATTAAAATGTCCTTACCTCTGATGCAGTTTTCCCTACTGGAACTATATTGTTGTCTTTCTTGGCTATGCTTTCAAGCTTAAAAATATTGTTATAATTATTCATTACATGTCTGTCACGTCTAGAAAGCTCTCCATTACGTTAATATCACAAAAACACAGAACAACGTACTGTTCTACATACCCAAAGGTCGTGTGCCTTCTCTAGCTGTTCCAACTCATTTTCATCATCACAAGGACGGTCCACTGTAAACCACAGAGGATCTATAGCCCCGGGAACAAGACTGGGGAAGCGAAACGTCATTACAATGTATATATTTTCTACAGTACTTGATTTTGTTTTCAAACGAATTGCAACTGGAAATAGCTAATTCGTACATAGTAGATAAAACCCCAACAGTAACCTTTGGAATTCCGGATTCCTTTTTTCGATTATAACCCGCTCTCTTCTGTATTTAAGATAAAGAATAACAAGAGGCCCAGGGGCCACAGCGCTCACCTGAGCACATCGGCTAGGAAAACGCACATATCAGATCAGAACTAAAAGTTAACTGAGGTGTTGGGGGGGGGGGGGGGGGCTTGAATATTAACCCCCGGGGGTTCATGATTTGAACAAACTAGAATCTACACTACCTGAGGATGATTCCATATAAATATCACTAACCATGGATTTGACTACTTGAATTAAAAGGTTTCCCTATATATCCCTATGTAAAACTTGGGTCGGCCATTTTGGCCCCACCCTGGTCCCGGGGGTCATGATTTGAACAAACTTGAATCTACACTACCTGAGGATAATTTTACATGAGTTTCATCTTTCCTGTCTCAATGGTTCTTGAGAAGATTTTTAAAAAGTTTTCCAATATATTAATTCCTATGTAAAACTTTGATCGGCCATTTTGGCCCCACCCTAGCCCTGGGGGTCATGATTTGAACAAATTTGAATATACACTACCTGAGGATGATTCCACATGAGTTTCATCTTTCCTGGCCCAGTGGTTCTTGAGAAGAAGATTTATAAAGAGTTTTCCTATATATTCCTATGTAAAACTTGGGTCGGCCAATTTGGCCCCACCCTAGCCCCAGGGGTCATGATTTGAACAAACTTGAATCTACACTACCTGAGGATAATTTTACATGAGTTTCATCTTTCCTGTCTCAATGGTTCTTGAGAAGAAGATTTTTAAAGTTTTTTCCTATATATTCCTTTTAAAAATTTGATCGGCCATTTTGGCCCCATCCTTGCCCCGGGGGTCATGATTTGAACAAACTTGAATCTACACTACCTGAGGATGACTCTACAAGAGTTTCATCTTTCCTGGCCCAGTGGTTCTTGAGAAGAAGATTTTTAAAGAGTTTTCCTATATATTCCTATGTAAAATTTGGGTCGGCCATTTTAGCCCCACCCTTGCCCCGGGGGTCATGATTTCAACAAACTTGAATCTACACTACCTTAGGATGATTCCACATGAGTTTCACTTTTCCTGGCCCATTGGTTTCTGAGAAAAAGATCTTTGAAAAATGCCATTAATTTTTCACTAATTCATAATTATCTCCCCTTGGAAAAGGTCGTGGCCCTTCATTTGAACAAACTTGAATTCCCTTCATCTAAGGATACTTTGTGGCAAGTTTGGTTTAAATTGGCCCAGTGGTTCTTGAGAAGAAGATGAAAATGTGAAAAGTTTACGCCGACGACAGACGACGAACAAATTTTGATCAGAAAAGCTCACTTGAGCCTTCGGCTCAGGTGAGCTAAAAACACATGGAAAGAATTGAAATTGGCGCACGATTAGAGAACAAAATTATAAATAGCAAACTTTAATTTAAACAAAATGCCCATGGGCCACAACGCTCACTTTAGTAATTTTGGCTCTGCTGTTCCCATTGCAATACCTATTGTGGCGCCACAATATCGCTGGGGGTCATGAATTGAACAATTTAGAATCTACACTACCAAGTATGCTTCCACTTAAGTTTCCAGATTTTCTGGCCAAGTGGCTCTTGAGAAGATTTTTCCTTTATATTTCAAATGTTCAACTTAAAACTAGCTTGGATTCCCTTTTCAGCTCACCTGAGCCAAAGGCTCAAGGGAGCTTTTCTGATCACATTTTGTCCGTCGTCCGTCTGTCTGTCTGTAAACTTTTCACATTTTCGACTTCTTCTCAAGAATCACTGGACCAATTTCAACCAAACTTGCCACAAAGTATCCTTGGGTGAAGGGGATTCAAGTTTGTTCAAATGAAGGGCCACGTCCCATCCCAAGCTGAGATAATTAATAATTACTGAAAAATTAATGGCAATTTTCAAAAATCTTCTTTTCAAGAACCACCGGGCCAGGAAAGATAAAACTTATGTGGAAACATCCTCAGGTAGTGTAGATTCAAGTTTGTTCAAATCATGACCCCCGGGGGTAGGGCAGGGCCACAACAGACGATCAAATTTTTACATAGGAATATATTGGAAAAAATCTTTAAAAATCTTCTTCTTGAGAACAGCAAAACCATGATTGGTCATATTTATATGGAAGCATCTTCAGGTAGTGTAGATTCAAGTTTTTTCAAATCATGACCCCCGGGGGTAGGGCGGGGCCACAATAGACGATCAAATTTTTACATAGGAATATATAGGAAAAATCTTAAAAAGTCTTCTTCTTGAGAATAGCAAAGCCATGATTGGTCATATTTATATGGAAGCATCCTCAGATAGTGTAGATTCAAGTTTTTCAAATCATGACCCCCTGGGGTAGGGCGGGGCCACAATGGACAATCAAGTTTTGCATAGGTGTATATAGGAAAAATCTTCTCGAGAACAGCAAATGATTGGTCATATTTATATGGAAGCATCCTCAGGTAGTTTAGATACAGGTTTGTTAAAATCATGACCCCAGGGGATAGGGTGGGACCACAATAAAAGTTACTAGTGTAGGGAAAAAAGCCTCAGTTAGTCAAAAAATATGTAAGCATTCTTAGTTAGTATAGATTCAAGTTTGCATAGATAGAAGTTTGTTCAAATCATACCCCCTTCCCCCTTTTTAGGATTGGGACCACTTAGGTTTTTTTCCTAGCCACAGTGCTCAGGTGAGCGATGTGGCCCATGGGCCTCTTGTTAAATATGGCCCGCCATATCCCGGGAGTCATGATTTGGACTATTTAAAATCTACACTATCCTAGGATGCTTCCACATAACTTTCAGCATTTCTGGTGCACTGATTCTTATGAAGACTTTTTAAATAATATTTTTCATATACATGTATTTCAATGTAAAAATTGGATCCCCTATATTGTGTCCCCTCCCTAGTCCCAGGGGTCATGATTTTAGAATCAACACTACCCAAAGATAATTCCACATAAGTTTCAGCTTTTATGGGCCACTGGTTCTTCAGCCTTAAACGCTTCATTTTAACAATTTAAACACCCTTCACCCAAGGATGCTTTGTACCAATTTGGCCAAGTGGTTCCGAGAAGTTGCAAGTGTGAAAATCAGAAAAAATCACTTGAGCTTTCAGCTCAGGTGAACTTAAATTTTACCAAATCAAAGTATGCAAAGCACAGATATTTAATTTATTACTTTTATTATACAATGGGTTAAAGTTTTATTGCTGAATCAGGTGCCTGCGATGCAAAGGTGCAAATGACCTATATTTTTTCTTGGCTTAAATGTTCATATTTAATAAAATGAAAACTAACCATTCAGTTGTGAAATTTTCGAGTAAAAATGGTTAACCGTTATTATTATTCTCCCTTTACAAAGTAAGTAAAGCCACAGACTTGATGGAAAGTTGTTAATATCCATGTTACCTATAGACTCTTTTGGGTTCTGCCTTGAATTCTTATTTTTGGATCTCTTTTATAACATCACCTGACAAATTATCATACTTCTCTATCATGTGGTATTCTATAGCTTGTCAAGATTTGCAGAATTACAAAATTATTTCATGTAATTAATCCATTACTTTCTTTTTTTAAATATTCAAAGAAAGAAATGAGAGAAGAAAATTTTCAAGACAGAGCTTTTAATATACTAATTCTTTCATTTGTCAAAAATGTCCTTATTAATTTTTCGACTGGTTCTTCACTTCGTCCAACTTGTTTCACCATGGTTTGTTTGAAGTCCTCCTTGACTCCTTTATTAACTCCCCTTGTCACAGTTCTCTGTCTGAAAAAGAAAGTTCATTTATCTTCCTGTATGTAAAAAGATGACAAAATCAGGGTTTAATATTGTAATTATGGTATAAATTTTGAATTTAAAATACTACTAGTAGTAATAAAGCTTACTGGGAGATAACTTTTACACTGGTTGGCAAAATATCAAGATTGACTTTTCCTCCTTCTGGTGTTTTCAGAAATGCAAACTCCTCAAGGATATCAACATCTGTACTCAGGGTCAAGGTTCAAAACACAGATGCTAGCAATTTTACACTCCAATTTAGAAAAAAAATCAGAGGAGGTGTACTGATTAAAAAATATACACTAGGTGAAATTAGAACAAACTAATTCATTCCTAAACCAAAGGATACTTATAACATAGTTGAAGAACTGATTGTAAACAAGGCTGTTTTGCTGTATGACTTTCTTCAAGACTTCGTAAAACAAAGCTTCAGACTTCGGCCAATCATATTGCAGTAATACCACCATGTGACCTAGTGATGTGTCATCGCCTTTCGAGGAAAATGCTTTAGACTGCAAAGAAGAAGGTATGGTTTTAGCTTTATTGCGCCCTAAAAATGTAATGACATCAAAAAGTTTTGAAACTGGCTTAAATATTAGTTAAATAAATGACTCTGATAAATCAGGAAAGAATATGGCATGAAGGTTTACAATTCTGCAAATAAGACATCATTAATGTGAAGCATTTCTCTATTTTCAACAGAAAAGCCTCAAAATGGCACATTTCAAGGGAGATTTTCCTTTAGAAAACAGTGTTCACAGCTGTCACCCATGTTCATTTTTTGATATTTTGTGCAAAATTATTATACCTTAAGAGCAGCCAGAAGTAGCTGTATACAGTATGGGAGAATCTCAGCTTCTGTACACTTTGTCAACCAGAGTTGTCTGCCCTTGGCTCCTGTTGGCTCTGATGAATTTGAGACAGGTAATCTGTCATGTGTATATGGCAGATCTTTAATTACATTCAACACCAACTCACAGGCTTTCTATAAAATAGGATTTAGAAACAAAATTTAACACAATGCAGGCTTCATAAACTTGATGTACTTGTACTGTTATTAAATACTTAGATATGAAGTTCCCCTAACTGGATTACAGTAAGTAGAATGAAAGTGTCACCTGTCATAAGTATTTTTGACTTATAACTACTCACTGAATATTTCTGCAGACAATAAAAGCAGCAGGCCATTTGCAGATTACTTCTTAGT